TACTACTACTACTACTCTCGTCAGCAGCGTACACCCATGGGCAAATGGGGGACGCTAAATTAACCAATCAGAGCGCGCGCTTTACTTTGGTTATGTTATAAATTCATATGGATACGCATTACAAACCTTCAGAGCGTTCTGTTCCGGCGCCGAACCTACGATACACGGGCTTAGTCGCAGATCCTACGGAAAAAAAAAAATAGATGCCTTGAAACGCGTTAACTCAAAACCAATTTTAATGTTAATAATGGTATGCTTGGGCACTTCAGATTTGGGATGTTTTCTTGTTTTGCCAATGAAAGGTTTAAAACCGTTATATGTCACCCGAAATGCTATCACTTTTTAAAAGTAACTGGATGCGAAATACATGTTAGTTTCTCAAAAAACTGTGCGATCTGGCAAAACTGAGAGGCTAATTTTCATTAGTTCCGCATAAGCACACAATGGAAATAAAAAAGAATGGTGATTAGTCAAAAGGGCCTGTAGCGCCGAACTTATCTCGTATCGTAAGTTTCTTACCCATTTGTTTTCAAGTCTGACTGGGGAAAATGGGGTAGGTGTTTTTTTAAAAAAGCTATCTATTTCTTACCCTCTGTGAAAAGATTATTTCTGGCGTTCTGATAGGTTACTTAGTGTCGGTTGTCGGCGCATAAACAGCACTGTTTTCTGATCTTATAAGGGAATATTGTTACCCATTCGTCTAACCGCCCGTCGGTGCGTACGCTCGACTTTCCATTTATCAATCGAGCCAATCAGAATCCTTGAAATGCATTCTCCGAGACTGAGTTATAATTCTAAAGACAGTTTACTTACGCTGTTGCAGCGGCTGGTGACCTTTTCGTCTGTCAATAAGCAACTGGCAGAACACCAGCATCACGGGATGTCTGTGGGCAACCAGCACAGTCACAAAGCCAAGGTATGCCACAAAAGCTTAAGAAGAAATGAATAAGGTTTGAAGTAAGAATCGAAGGTCAGCCGAAATCTGGTGTAGCTTAAGTTATCAACAAACGGTTCATCAATGCATTATTTAAAATAAGCTGTTTTAGAAAAGAGTGAGCTGCTTGGCAATATAATAGGTGCATATATTGTATATCTCCCTTCCCATATATCGCCTGTATTGGATGCCTGCTCCATACCTTTGTCCCAAGCTTGGAAACCCTGCATTAGTGATGTTCGGTCGATACGAGAGATAAATATCACTCCCAAAAGCATGCCCTTTAGAATTCGCATGAAACCAGAGAAAAGTCCAAGAATTATGTTGTAGAAGAAGAAAAAGTACGACATGATGGAGAATAGCCGCCTGAAAGAGAGAGAGAGAAAGACCAAAAATAAAGTGTACATTACAAGGGATGATTATTTTAAGCTTATTTACCCAAAGGAAACATGCAAGTCTGGGAGAATTGCTAATCAACCCAGAAGCAACAACAACACCCACCACCACCCTAACAGCATAAACATCAACAGTAAAAACAAATATCGATAACATTGAAAATTTTTGCTGAAAATCATATTATTAAAGACCTCTTCGTCGGTGAGTTTTCACGTCAACGTTCTGTGATGCGGATTAAATTAATCTACCGCAGCCTTGTGATGAACGCTCTCTCTCGGCGAGGTGTGAGTTGACCACAAAAAATGTAATGGCATATCACGTAAGCAATTGACACAATAATAAAATTGCTGCGCCACTGGTCATCCGCAGCCCAACTTGAACACTGACTGATAGGACAGTGTGCACTCCACGTTGTACTTGCAACTAGACATTTCACGCGAAATGCTTGTGTGACAACACGCGCTATATGCTTGCTTTTATAATTACGTCAATGAATTGATTTGTTACTGACCGAATTGGATTGAACTCGGTCTTATTATCATTTATAAATGTCTGCAGGTGTGTGTTATGAGTAGATCAGTTTTTCAGGGCATGTACATCACACAACAATAAATTCAGCTCAGACTGATATACAACAATACCTGTTATCAATCGTGACAGTGATATTCGGATAGGTTGAGTCACGGAAGACAATACGGGTTAGAAACAACTGGAACAACATCAAAGAAATAATCAAGGCCAAGGTGGGTCTGTAAAAAAACAACATTTCATGGGTTACGCGTAGAAGATAACAATTATTTCTTTCAAAGAGTATAGCAATATCAAGCTGGCTTAGCCACGAAAACCTGAACCTGCAAAGATGTGACTGTTTATTGGTTTGATACTTAAACAATCTTTACAGTTGCGTTGTTCATTTACTTGAGCAGTTTTCAATTGAATGTCGAAAGTCATCCATGATTGCTTTGGTTTTGTAGACTGAGTTGATAATGCAAGTTGGACACCATTATGAGTTTCAAAGCTGACGTTTCAAGCGAAGGGCTAACGCTCGAAACGTCAGCTTTGAAACTCT